CACAAGAAATCAAGCGTCCATTTACAGGTCAAACTTACCTGATTTGACTGTCCAGAAAGATAGGGCTCAAAGTCATTGTCATGAACGGTATCCTTCTGATGCAACGAACCATTTTGCACTGGAACGACAAGTTGCAAAATTTTATCTTTGAATTTTTAATAATGGCTTTTTCAACACGGAAATTTAAGGCTTAAGTCGACTTATCAACCCCCAGCAGGAACCATACTTTTACAGACGCTCACGCGGTTAATTACAAAGACACCACCGCACTTCCAACAGGTTAGCTGGCATACTCGATGGAGCCAGTGGCGCTGCGCTGGGACGGGGACGAGCTCCGGGCCAAACACGACCACGCCGGGGGCTCGCAGCCGGCTTCCGGCCGGCAGCGCCATCGTCCTGGGAGCTCCCCGCTACGCAGGACCCAGGGCATCCAGGAGGCGCCGGCGCCTTGGCCGCGGGTCCGCTCAGCACTGCGGGCCGCTTCCGGCCTCGCCGCCCAGGCTGGTTTCCCGGGCTGACCGCGAACCGGCGGGAGAGCGCCGCCCTCAGGCCGGCTGGCTGCCCCGTCGCGGGCGCGGAGCCCCGGCCTCCGCAGCTCCGGCCGGTGCCGGCTCCGAACCCGGCACCTCGCCGCCCCCCGCGCACCCATTGTTATGTGCCGTAGAGTCGGACTCGACTCATAGCAACCCCTCCTTGAGTTTCCGAGGCAGTATCACTACAGAAGTAGATTGAACCGCCAGCCTTCTGGTTAGCAGTCAAGTGCCTTAGGCACTAAGTTTTAGCCACTGGATTCCAACCCAAAGCTCATCATCAAGGCCAGGTCAGGTCCATTCTATAGAGCCCTGCCTGCCCAGCAGAGGGGACCATCTCAGGAACAGAGAACCAGGGCAACTGAGGCACGCACGCCCTGTACCGCGTCCCCTGGAGCAGTGGGCAAGGGGGACGAAGACAGACAAACAAGAAGACGGGCTCACTAGCTTGATTCCACCACAGGGGAGAAGCCAAGCCTGGCATTATTCTTATGATAAGATAAACATGCTTGACGCGTTTTTGAAGTGGTAGACAATATGTTTAAACCTCTGCTCTAACTAACCCAGTTGTTGTCAACCAGGGGAACATATCCATGTGTGAATGCGTTTTCAGTTATCACAGTGTGTGGGGGTGTGTGTGTTGTGTGTGTGTGTGTGTGT